CTCTCTTGATTGTGGTGATGGGTTCATAAGTGTGTAAAGATATGTCAAAACTCATCAAAATGTACACTTTTGATACGAAATGTGGCTTATCATATATCAATTATGCTTCAATAAGGCAGTTTTTAAAAATAACTTCTGCAGCCTGTGGTACAGCTAGTATTGAAGTGGCCAAGTGCTCCGTCATCACCCAAAGTCCTAGTCTGATCTCCCAGGCTTCAGTCAGGACTCACACAAACTTGGGTCATGGGTGCAGATGCCTGTGGGCATTTACAGTGATGGCAGACAGAGGGGTGTCTTTGATGGGAAAAGGGAGTTGCTTCTGTATTACTCTGTTTTGATTCTTTTCTGGGCCAGTTTGTATCAGCAACTGTGAACTGCTTCCTTTCAATAGTTTGTTATTATCATGTGAGTTTCCTCTTTTTTTTTTTTTTTTTTTTTTTGCGGTACGCAGGCCTCTCCCTGTTGTGGCCTCCCGCTATCGTGGCCTCTCGCGTTGCGGAGCACAGGCTCCGGATGCGCAGGCTCAGCGGCCATGGCCCACGGGCCCACGGGCCCAGCCGCTCCGCGGCATGTGGGATCTTCCCAGACCAGGGCACGAACCCATGTCCCCTGCATCAGCAGGCGGACTCTCAATCACTGCACCACCAGGGAAGCCCCGAGTTTCCTCTTTTTAATAAAAAATTTTAATACAAAATTAGCACATTTATTATAAACATTCAAAAATTGAAGCAAGAATACTCCTAATCCATTTCCCAGATGAAATGTTGACAATTTGATGTACATCCTTCCAGACTTTATAGAGAGGTCTGTATGTGTGCGCGTGCACGTGCGCCCACCATGCATGTGTGTTTATATTACTTTTATTACTTTATATTACGTTTACAAAAACAAGATCACATTGCACATTATTATCCTGCAACTTGCTTTTTATTTTTTCCTCTAAAAAGTATCATGGGCGTCCTTCCATGTCAATAAGTACACACCTATGCCTCCCTCCCTCCCTTCCTCCCTTTCTTCCTTCTTTCTCTCCCCCTGCCCCTCCTCCCTCTCCCCCTCCTCCCTCTCCCCCTCCCCCCTCTCCCCCTTCTACCTGTCTTCCTGGTAGGAAGTCTCCTCCCCCTCCCCCTCCTCTTCCTCCTTCATTTTTTGTTAGTTTTGGCTTGAGGCCTCTTTAAGGAAAAAGCATCGCAATAGGAATTCATAATTATCGCGCACCTATGCGCCAGGCACCATCTGGTTCATTTTCAGCGATCTGGCAGAAATTGCCAATGACATTGCTGTAGCATTGAAGCCATGGCATATGTAAAAAGCTTACTTCTTGGTACACAGTAGGTCCTCAATATTTAAAAAAAAAAATAAGATTGGAAGGTTAGCTCCCTATTCTGGGAGACTATTCAAAGATGAAATATTCACAAACATTTCATTTTAAAGCCTGTGACCAGCAGGGGAAGAAAGGAGAAGCAATGTCTAATTTGCTGCTGTTGCTGAAGTTGGGAAAGAGGAATTGGAATTGAGGTTTTTAAAGGAGGCCAGTTTTTTTTTGTTTTTTTTTTTTTGTTTTTTTGAAAACCAATTGGGTCCTCTTGAGAAAGTCAGAAAATAACTTAAATGCTTCCGAATTGAGGTGTAGAGTCCTGTCACTGGAGGGCCGGGTGAGCAAACATCGACCCTAGAGCAGAGGCTGTGGGCAGGCAAGGCAGCAAGGCCTGCAGGTCTGTTTATTTGCACTTCGCAGTGCTTGTAAATTGTTTTCCTTGATTGCCAGCATCTGAAAAAGCAGATTTCGCATAAGAACCTCAGTTTCTGACCTCTCTGGATTAATAGGAGGATGCGGCCACCCCAGGCCCTCCTTCCCTCACTGGGGGTTCAGATGAGGCACTGGTCTCCGCCTCTGTTCAGTGTTTTTTGCTCGCTGAGACCGTCTTGCTGTCCACTGTGATCATCTGAGTTGTAACCTCTGCTGTAGAATTTACTGCTTATTTTTGCTTCGGTGTGAGATGGAAGTGATAGCCAGTTTTGTTTTGTTTTTTCATGTGAAAAATACAGCACATCAAGCACTATAAAATACCATCTGACTGTTTTCCCTCCAAATTTGAGGAGAACCTTTATTATACTTCAGGAAAGTGGAGAGATCTGGCTAAAATATAGAAACTGTTTCACTGTGTGGAAATCACCCTTGTGAAGGATATGAGGCATATATTTAACCTCAAGAAGTTGATGATTTTTAGTGGGCTTTGTGAGGTTAATCTGAAGTAGAAGGAAAAATTGAAGTTTTTAATAAAATCCATTTATATTGACCATAATTTTAAATGAATGACTACAAGTGCATCTGTTAACACTGTAAGTCAGCAAAAAGTTTTATTAAAACCACTTTGCAAAAAATCATAATGCAATTCTGAACTTCATTCCTGTGTATACATAGTTGTGACAAAATTGTGTCTAAAATGACACTGCAATAAGCAGCTTTGAACATGTTCTTTTCTTATTTTTAATTCTTTCCTTAGCATGAGTTTCTAGAGCAGGTTACTGGACCAAAGGGGATGAACATATTTTATGGTTCTTGGTTTGTTTTGCCAAGTTATTCTAAAAAAAGATGTAATTAATTTTCACTATCTCTAGCAAGATATGAAGGTGCCTAGTTTTTCTTTCTTCCCAAAACTCTCCCAGGAATGGGTTTTTGTAATTTTTATGTATTTGTGTAAAAACTATTAAATGGGATTGTGTATCTTGAAACTAATTAAAATTTAGATGTTTGTATCAGTTAGCTGTTGTCGTATAATAAACCATCCCCAAACTTAGTGGCTTAAACAAAAACCATTTATTATTTCTCACAAGTCTATAGGTTCTCAGGACTGTTCTGCTGATCTGTGGTGGCTGCATCTGATCTTGACAGGGTTTGCTCATGTGTCAGCCATCAGTTGGTGGGTTGGCTGGGGGCTGGCTGGTCTAGGACAGCTCATCTGTCACAAGAGGGCTTTTTCATGTGGCCTTTCATCCTCAAGCAGGCTAGCCCAGGATTGTCCTCATGGTATGGCAGGATTCCAGGAGAGTGAGGGCCACTTGACACCTCGTCTTAGAACTAGCACTTGGACACTTCTGCCACATTCTGTTAGGGAAAAAAAAAGGCCGTCTCAAATTCAAGGGCTGGGGAAAAATAGACTCTATCTCTTGATAGCAACAACTCAAAGTCACATTACAAAGGGTGTGGATACAGGGAGGGGTGGAATATTAGGATCATTTTTGCAACTGTTATACTACAACAGTCAATATTGTCCTTCAAACTTGCCATCTTTCAAAGCTTTATACCTGTTCCAGCAATGTACGCACTAATTAAAAAAGAATAATTAGAGCCTTTCTCAGAATCTCCTTGTAAGGGGACTTATGAACCAATTGAAAAGTCAGTTTCTTCTTTATAGTCGTTCATTTTATCCAGCATTCTTGATTCTAGATAATTTTTGATGATTTTGAAATATCAAATACACAATAAAAGAATTTCAAAATTGACCTCCATCAAGGCTATTTAAAAGAATGTAGCTCAGACTTTGAAATCAATCCAAGCGAAGCATTCCAAAGTGTTTAAAACAAAAGCAGTATCACTGGAATAAATGGAGAGCATGACAGACTGGTTACTTTGAAGTGATTAACTATTTTGTGAATATTTTTTCTGGAATATTTTTTAAAGCCTTGCTTTAAATTAGGTTGTATAAATAAATACCTCTTGATTACAGATAAATTTGGGGGTTCAGTATATCTTAATTGAATATCAAATTAATTTTTCTCCTAAAGGAGTTTAGTGTTGACTCTTATTTATGTTGCAAATTGCAGCAAATGGACTGGATTTTGTCTTCATTATGCTCTTTAGATAACTTTTTTGGAGAAGGAGCACATGTTTATTCTCATATCATCCCAGTTCAGTGTTGCTAACATAAGGATTTCTAGAACCTAATATAAGATACTGCTTTTGGTGGCCTTTTTTTTTTTTTTTTTTTTTTGCAGTACTCCAGTCCCGAAGTAGAGGGAAGATTCTCTTTGTCACTCACTAGGAGAGACTGTCTTCTCTTCCCTTGATCTTAGAGTTCAATTTAGTGAAAGTCGACAGACTGGAGGAATGAGAGTAGATATGTCCGTGTGAGACTTGGAAAGCATCCTGGACGAAGGATGCTAGATCAGGTACCTGGGTTAGAACTGTCGGCTGGGTGTGTGTTCATGAATGTGCTACGTGTATTTTACCCCGGCCCTGTTTCTGTGCCATCCCCAGCTGGTTTTTCTGGGACTTTACATTTGAGCTCAGTTGTACAATAGACTGGAGATTTGGAATCTTGGAGTGTCAATATATGGGCAAGTCGTTTAATTTTCCTGAATCCATCTGAATTTCCCCATCTCTAAAACAGGCATGAAAATACCTACTCACAGGTTGCTTCAGGAACCAAATGAGACAAAGTAGTATAAGTAATAGCCATAGGGCTTCCCTGGTGGCGCAGTGGTTGAGAGTCCGCCTGCCGATGCAGGGGACACGGGTTCGTGCCCCGGTCCGGGAAGATCCCACATGCCGCGGAGCGGCTGGGCCCGTGAGCCATGGCCGCTGAGCCTGCGCGTCCGGAGCCTGTGTTCCGCAACGGGAGAGGCCACAACAGTGAGAGGCCCGCGTACCACAAAAAAAATAAAATAAAATAAAAAAATAATAGCCATAGCTTATGTTGATTGAGAACTTCCTGTGTGCTGGGCACTATTCTAAGGATTTCCTGTACTCACTCATTTACTCCTTCCTGAAATCCTATTATTTCTATTTTACAGTTAGGGGAACTGAGACACAGTCTTTGGAAACTCTTTGAAACCTCTAAAACACATTAAACAAATGTAAGCTATTGTCTTAATTCTCCCGATAGTATACGTTCCCCTATCAATTTGACCTAAGTCCAGCAAATGGCAGCATTCAAAATCTAAATCTGCGTTTTGCTCCATTTGTATCAAAATGTTCCCTTTCGCCCTCTAAGGTTTCCCGCAGATACCATGACGGTCACGATGGTGTATGATAATTCAGAGGCAACGGAGCTCTGTGCGGCTCAGCACCTCTACCTCAAGCCCATAGCAAAGTTGATGATCAATGTATTGCTCCCTGAGAGCACGGAACCCATGAGGCCCTTCTCTAACTGGGAAGTTCTTGACCAGCTGAAGAGCCTGATTTGTCCTGACCAGTTCACCACAGTGCGGCTCTCCAAGAGTACTAAGGACTTCATCCGATTTGAGGGGGAGGCTGAAACTCGAAGTTTGGTTCAGATCCTGAAGGCCAAGTTACACGGGAAGATCATCAAGCTAAGCGGTTTGAAAACAGACTTGAGAGTAGTGGCCACAGATGCCCAGGGGGAGTGGGAACACTTCCCCAAAGAAAACGGGGCACCGTTGGCTGACGGGTCTGAAGAGCAGGACCACGATAAGAGCCCAGATTCCATATACTTCGAAGGCCTGCCCTGCAAGTGGTTTGCACCTAAAGGTTCCAGCGGGGAGAAGCCGTGTGAAGAGATCCTTCGGGTGGTCTTTGAAAGTTTTGGGAAGATCAAGAATGTGGATATTCCGATGCTCGACCCCTACCGAGAAGTCATGACTGGTGGGAGCTTTGGTGGGTTCAGCTTCGGCTTGCAGACGTTCGAGGCCTTTATACAGTACCAGGAGTCAACTGACTTTGTAAAGGCCATGGAGTCCCTCCGCGGGATGAAGCTGATGCTTAAAGGAGATGATGGGAAAGCTCTGGCATGTAACATTAAGGTAAGGAACAGCCAGGGGTTTTTAAACAAAATTTCCCACTGTTCAGGTGGTCCTGAGTAAAAGCTAGGAGGAAGCGTCTGCAACAAATTTCCTTAGACCCCAGTAGGCTCTGATCAATAGCTAATGTAAAGATTTGTGTTATTGTTAATCAATGGATGATTAGGGGAAAAAATATCATCCTGATTTGAACATTCTTCTGCTATCAGCCATGCTGCCAGCTGTGGTTTGAAAACGATGGTTGTTATAGTCTGGGGCTCTGCCCCAGCTTCTTGGGGGCATCAAAGGATTCTTCATGGTCCTTATGGAAGTATCTCAGATACTTATTCCATTTGACAAGTTGCCAGGAGAGAGGGCAACATGCAGCTTGAAACCACGAGGAAAGCAGTTTACTCCCTCTTTGCTACTGGGGTCACAATTTATTATATGTTCCTGTTGTCTGTCAGGTAAATTGCTGAAACAAAATCCCAACAAACCTGGATCCTTTCCTTTCAGAGTCAGCCTGTCTATGCAGGCATGTCACTCCATCACTGTCTGAATGCCTGGTCACCTCCTTCTTGAAGCTTTAATCCAGCAGAAGAAAAGATGCAGCTAAACCCTCCTTTTTCTCTAAATCAGTCTTTAGTGTGAATTTGGACTTTCAGCTTCGGTAGCTTCGTGTGTGTGTGTGTGTGTGTGTGTGTGTGTGTATGTGGGTTAAAATATATATTTGAAAATTATGAGCTATTCAGTCCGACAAAAGATATAGCAAATACTATAATGACCGCCCATGTACCACTGCCCAGCTTAAAAAATAAAGCATTACCAGTGATATGAGAACATGCTCCCCTCTGTGTACCATCCTCAGTCTCAGGCCCCTCCCTCCCCTCAAAGGTAACCATGATGGTGAATTTGGTGTTTATCACTCATGCATATTTAAATAGCTACTTCTGCCTCCATTTATTTTTTAGGCAAGTTTATTTGTAGCACCTCAATCTGACTTCCACTTTATTTAGAGATTTGCAAAGTTGTTTAATAATCACTGTAGTCAGATCTTGTATCTCATTTGGTCAGTTTTCTTACATCTTTGCTCTCCCACCCTCGTCTCACCCATTTTTGGACTCTTTTTGTCTCTGGTGATTAAAAAAATACGTTAACTCAGTTAATCACTATAACAAACCAGAGGCAATATACTCACATCCCTTAGAACTTGCATCCATCATGGCACTGTGATGCCGCCTATGGCTGTCAAGTGAGCTCCTCAAGGGTTCTGCCAAAGAAAATTCTAGAGCCCCACAAGGACTGTTTGGCAGGTAACTGAGAAGCAGTGGAACAGTCTGGGTGCTGGGATGCAGAGAAGGCATTTTTAATTCATTTGGTTTGGCACTGCCACGTACAAATTAGTTTTATCTCTCTGGCCTTCGACACACCCAGCCAGTGGGCAAACTTTTCTAATGAAACTTTGAATTGTTTGGGGGCAGGTTATGTTTGATACAACCAAACACTTCAGTGAAGGAGCTATAAGGAGGAGAAATCAAGAAAGGCTGAAATTACAAGAGCTGGAGGAAGAAAGGAAAAAAAAGAAGAGAGAAGAGGAAGAGGCTGAAAGGTGAGGAGACCAACTTCAATGAAGAGGGTTTTTTTAAACTTTTGATTTATGGATTAATCCCTTCAGGTGAATGGCTGCGGGGAGGAGAAATTGGTGCAGTCTTTCCACTGTGCTGTTACAAAACCAAAAGAGAAAGCAGTTGAAAGCAAGAGACTTAAAAAGTATGCTTGTCAGGAAGAACAAGTAATGAAGAATTGTGGGACCAGCCAGATTAAGATGTCTGGGAGGAAATGGTCATTAAAAAAAAAAAAAAAGACCAGGAAATTTTAGAGTGAAAATTCTAGCAGTTTACCTAAATTTACCAAATTTTACCTTACCTATCAATTGAAATTTTGGGGAAAAATTCTTTTTAGGTCTGGAAAAGATTTTCTTCCATAAAGTGATCAATAATCATTCTAACCCACAGGCCAGAAAGCATGGATTTGTTGAGACTATTTTTCTCGTGGGCCCAAGTTCTTTCTGTGAATTTGAGGAGCCTCTGTATTTACTTCTTTGAGTTTATCATTGTTCCCCAGTTTAGGAGCTTGAGACTAGAAAGGGCTATTGGATCGCCAAAGGTTTGCTAAGAAGGGACAAATGGTCCAGAACCACAGGGCTCCCAAAACCAGTTTTACCTCCCGGCTCCTCCCCTTGCGTGTTTATTCTTCCAGTCTTTTATGCAAATTATAGCCATTCAAAAGAGGAGTTTAAGAGTACCCTTCCATCTTCCTCTCACTTTTTTTTGGCTGGCGGAGTGCCAGGAGTTACTTGAGGTCACATCTGTGAAACCTGGCCAGACGCTGAGCCCAGTCAAGGTAACGATTCCCCCCAAATTTCCAGATTGACCATGCAGCTTAGCTAATCCTCCAGTTTTTGGCTAAGCCCTCCCTCAGGCCACTGTCCTTTTCTCCCCCCTTTTCCATGTTTCCATGAGGGCCTACCCAAAACAGCTGAAATTTTCAGAAAATGGCAGAACAATAAGGCCGTGTGCTTCTAAGCCAGTCTCTTTATGGTGGTGTACTCTGTTAAGTAGTCTGCACCAAAGACCAGTTCTCACCTTTATTTTCTGAGTGCCTTGACTTACTGTCATTTGCCCTGTGCCACCAACTCACGGAAGGTTTTGATCTCAAGAGAAAAGGAATCTTCGCTGTGAAAGCTGGATCCAGTAGCCCCTGCTGATGGTTTGAGAAGGTGGAGGCTAGAGGCCTCTCCTTTGAATTCAGTTGCTTTCTTCTTCTTTTTTTAATACTCTCTGCATGAGGTCTCCTATACATGTTTCTAACTCATCAACTTAGTTATGCGTTGTCGGGCCCTGGCAGGGGGACGGGAGTGGGAAGGGCGGCAAATGACTGATAAATACCTTCTGAAGGGTTGACTCTGTTAATCATTATCCAGAAAGAGAAAAGAGGAGGAGAGGAAAGCCCAGGAAAAGAGGAGAAAGGCCAGAGTCAGGAGGCACGCCCTGAAGGAAAGAAACAGACACCGGCAAAGGAGACAGAAGGACAGTGCCAAAGCGGAGGCCCGTCAGGGGCCCAGCTCTTCCGAGGACTGGGAAGAGAGGAAGGGCCTGCTGGCCAGGAGGCGGCTGGAGGCCCTCCGCCTGCTGCGGGCGCTCCTGAGGAAAATCGCAATAAGGCCCTTGCCCCATTGTTCCTCGCTTTGGGTAGGTACTGACCTTTCTGAGACACGACCTTTACTTTTTTTTTTTTTTTTGGCGGTACGCGGGCCTCTCACTGTTGTGGCCTCTCCCGTTGCGGAGCACAGGCTCCAGACGCGCAGGCTCAGCGGTCACGGCTCACGGGCCCAGCCGCTCCGCGGCATGTGGGATCCTCCTGGGCCGGGGCACGAACCCGTGTCCCCTGCATCGGTAGGCGGACTCCCAACCACTGCACCACCAGGGAAGCCCATGACCTTTACTTTTAAACAATGGCCTATCCTTTAAACAGCACACGTGGAAGGCTCACTGTATTCATTGGGGTTTATTTTCAATAGGCTGTTCTCTAATAACCCCAATTGTGCATTTACCAAAGGGATACCCAGATTTTCTGAAGGCGTTGGGTCTCACACCCCCTTCCCCCCCCCCCCCCCACAACCATCTGGCACACACACACTTTGTGTTTCTAAACTTTAGGATGGTTTCACCCGGGGCGATACAGCTCATGCATCTACTTTTGTAAGTTCCTAATTGAGGTAACAAAAAATGCATGGGGGAAGAAATGGGTGGTGGGGGTGTTGGGTTTGTAGTCCTCCATTAATTTTCATTGGCCATTCATCTGTGACAGGTTTGGATGCGAAGGGAGAACCTTGAACAGAGACCTTGGTGGAGCAAGCTCCTGTTAGTCTAGTCCTTTTTAAAACTATTTATTTATTTATTTTTGGCTGTGTTGGGTCTTTGTTGCTGTGCGCGGGCTTTCTCTAGTTGTCGCGAGCGGGGATGACTGTGTTGTGGTGTGCAGGCTTCTCATCGTGGTGGCTTCTCTTGTTGCAGAGCATGGGCTCCATGCATGTGGGCTTCAGTAGTTGTGTCACGCAGGCTCAGTAGTTGTGGCTGTGGGCTCTAGAGCTCAGGCTCAGTAGTTGTGGCGCGTAGGCTCAGTAGTTGTGGCTCGCAGGCTCTAAAGCGCAGGCTCAGTAGTTGTGGCACATGGGCTTAGTTGCTCCGTGGCATGTGGGATCTTTCCGGACCAGGGCTCGAATCCGTGTCTCCTGCATTGGCAGGTGTATTCTTAACCACTGCACCACCAGGGAAGTCCCTTAGTCTAGTCTTAAACTATTTGCTAAGGAATGTCTCACATCACAGGCCAATTGTTTTGCTTGGAGAGTTTCAGTTTCGGAAGTTTTTTGTTCTCCCACTTACTGACCTCCTAAAGATAACCAGACTCAGCAGATGTCCCAGAGTAAAGGCCAGAAAGGCCTCCCAAAGTGTTAATTTAAAAAGCCATATTCAGTGTTCTTAAATATGAAAAGTGAATGGCATTCGTTTTATTTTTTTAAATTAATTTATTTAATTTATTTATTTTTGGCTGAGTTGGGTCTTTGTTGCTGCACACGGGCTTTCTCTAGTTGCGGCGAGCGGGGGCTGCTCTTCGTTGTGGTGCATGTGCTTCTCATTGCAGTGGCTTCTCGTTGCAGAGCATGGGCTCTAGGCGTGCGGGCTTCAGGAGTTGTGGCACGCAGACTCAGTAGTTGTGGCTCTCGGGCTCTAGAGCACAGGCTCAGTAGTTGTGGCAGGTGGGCTTAGTTGCTCCGTGGCATGTGGGATCTTCCCAGACCAGGACTCGAACCTGTGTCCCCTGCATTGTCAGGCAGATTCTTAACCACTGCACCACCAGGGAGGTCCCGTGGCATTCATTTTAGATAGAGCTAATTTTATGTGTATTTGCCATCTCAGCTTTTTGTTCTCATTGGTGTGGCCAATCAAACTGCATGAAATCAGGATCAGAAAAACCTCACATTTCCCTTTACAATAAGGTGAGCTTGATCTTTTTTAGTTTACCTTAATGACTGCCAAGGGTGACTCCTCGTGAAGAATTTCTCTCTTTAAATATGTGTGGTGCCTAATTCTCGGCCTCATCAATACCTTACACTGATTATGCAGTCCGCAGGTTCTAATTCCAAGTCCTGGGTAAGCTCTGTGCCCTGATTTGTGCCAGGTGTCAGTGGGAGCTCAGTACAAGCTCTCCCAGCGAGATAGGGCCCATGTGCAGGACCTTTCACCTGCCCTGCAGTCGTGCAGAGCAGAGAGCACCACAGAGAGAACCACTGTCACAGCCATATTTTCTACTTGCTGTCTTGTTTCCAACCGGGGCGGGTGAGGTGGGCAGCTCAGGGTCACGCCCCTCTGCAATCCATGGGAAGAAGCTGGACTATAGCCCAGAAAGCCCTTTGTTTATCTTTTTCAAAGGCAGCTGACCCTTTTAGACACACATTTCACCCATCAGTCTTTTCTTGTTCTAGGACTGTAGCCCCAGGGAGGGCTCTAGAGCATTTCTTATGCCTCTTCATGTCCCCAGCCCCTAGCACAATACCTGGACAGTAAGTAGACTCATCCATTTGTGAACAAAGGAAAAAGGGTCATGTGCTTTTAAAAAACTTTTTAAAAATTGAAGTATAGCTGATTTACAATGTTGTGGTAATCTCTGCTGTGCAGCAAAGGGACTCAGTTATATACATACAGACGTTCTTTTTTTAAATATTCTTTTCTATTATGGTTTATCACATGATATTGAATCTAGTTCCCTGTGCTATACAGTGGGACCTTGTTGTTTATCCATCCTATATATAATATTTCATATCTGCTAAGCCCACATTCCCAGTCCTTCCCTCCTCCACCCCCCGCCCCCTTGGCAACCACAAGTCTGTCCTCTATGTCTGTGAGTCTCTTTCTGTTTTGTAGATGGTTTGTTTGTGCTGTATTTTAGATTCCACATATGAGTGATATCATATGGTATTTGTCTCTCTTTCTGACTGACTTCACTTGGTATGAAAATCTCTAGTTGCATCCACGTTGCTGCAAATGGCATTATTTTGTTCTTTTTTGTGGCCGAGTAGTATTCCATTGTATATATGTACCGCATCTTCTTTATCCATTCATCTGTCGATGGACATTTAGGTTGTTTCCATGATTTGGCTTTGTAAATAGTGCTGCTATGAACATAGGGGTGCATGTACCTTTTTTTTTTAAACATCTTTATTGGGGTATAATTGCTTTACAAAGGTGTGTTAGTTTCTGCTTTATAACAAAGTGAATCAGTTATACATATACATATGTTCCCATATCTCTTCCCTCTTGCGTCTCCCTCCCTCCCACCCTCCCTATCCCACCCCTCCAGGCGGTCACAAAGCACCGAGACGATATCCCTGTGCCATGCGGCTGCTTCCCACTAGCTATCTACCTTACGTTTTTTAGTGTGTATATGCCCATGACTCTCTCTCGCCCTGTCACAGCTCACCCTTCCCCCTCCCCATATCCTCAAGTCCATTCTCCAGTAGGTCTGTGTCTTTATTCCTGTCTTACCTCTAGGTTCTTCATGACATTTTTTTTTCTTCTTAAATTCCATATATATGTGTTAGCATACGGTATTTGTCTTTTTCTTTCTGACTTACTTCACTCTGTATGACAGACTCTAGGTCCATCCACCTCATTACAAATAGCTCAATTTCGTTTCTTTTTATGGCTGAGTAATATTCCATTGTATATATGTGCCACATCTTCTTTATCCATTCATCCGATGATGGGCACTTAGGTTGTTTCCATGTCCTGGCTATTGTAAATAGAGCTGCAATGAACATTTTGGTACATGACTCTTTTTGAATTTTGGTTTTCTCAGGGTATATGCCCAGTAGTGGGATTGCTGGGTCATATGGTAGTTCTATTTGTAGTTTTTTAAGGAACCTCCATACTGTTCTCCATAGTGGCTGAACCAATTCACATTCCCACCAGCAGTGCAAGAGTGTTCCCTTTTCTCCACACCCTCTCCAGCATTTATTGTTTGTAGATTTTTTGATGATGGCCATTCTGACTGGTGTGAGATGATATCTCATTGTAGTTTTGATTTGCATTTATAGTTTTGTCTGGGTATACGAAGGGTCATGTGCTTTTGAAGGTATGTAAACCGGGGTGCCTTCTAACATAAAGACGGGCACAGACCTAATGAAAGCAGCTCCTGTTAGACCGAGACATTTAATTTAGCACCTCCTGTTTCTTCAGTGTGATATTGTTCCTAATTTCAGTCTATCCTAGGTGTAGTTAGAAACCTCTTCAGAACAATGCTAGAAAGCCCAATTTTCTTTGAAAATTTTAGTCTGTTTAGTTTTTCATGGAGATTTTTAACCTTTTTCTTTGAAGGGGTCTATACAATTTAACCCACGGGAGGTAGATGTTGCAGTCTCCAAAGCTAATCGTGCTCCGGGGACCACACTGGGAGCTCTGAAGAAAGAAGAGTTAAACACTCAGTATCTTCAAAATCAGGAGGAAATGCCAAGATATCAGGTTTCCAAGTCAGATAACAAGCGAAAACAAAAAATGAAGGAAAGAGCTACGGCTCACTTACGTAAATCTTCCCACTACCTTGGGGAAAAAAAATTAAGATATTCAGCTAGAAAAGAGAGAACTGGAAAATTATTAACCAGTGAATACAATCACAGTTTGCTCCCTGATGGGAATTCTTTGCAAATTGCCATGATTCAAGGTCAATCTCTTGCGAAAGAAGACTACCATGGTTCTAATAAATCCTATTCTTCCAGATTAGTTGAGAGAGACCATGGCAGGAAACAGAAGATCTATGAAACAGATGAATTTATTGACTATCTTCTTAACTATTATCACACTCCAAAATATGCCCGTATCTGCCTAGAACCAAGTCACATAACAAGCACATGTCAGTGGCACAGGGCCGTCCATGCGAAAGGAAGTGGATTTCAAATCAATTTGAGAAAACATAAGCGTCATTTAACCAGTTTGAGCCAAATGCAAAACCTAGATAGGAGAGAACAGGTGCAAGAAGACGATTCCTGCACAAAGATTTGTACTCAGGATCCTGAGCATAAAGCACAAAAGAGAGGAAAAGTGGATTATGCCAAAGAGTGTAGAATGTTTAAGGGGTTTAAACATCATTGCAAGGACACAGTATGTGAAGCTGGTGATCGGCCATCCCCAGCTTTTGGAAAGAGCCATCTGTTGGAACAGACTCATGCTTACCAGGTCCAAGATTCCATATCCACAAGTCAAAGCCAAGTTTCCTCGCCCAACAGGTCAGCAGACTTTGATTTGAGGTTGACAGATTTCTTAGAGGAAATTAGCAGTGATTCTGAATGTTTCAGTGAAATCCTTAGTATAAACAAAGAGGAGAAAGAGAAATCTGTGGCCACATATGATAGCTCCCCAGAAAAGGGATCTCTTGACACTGATGAAATCATCACTTGCGATCCAGAAATTAGGTCAAGTCAGCAAACCTTGTACTCAGAGTGGAAACATGAGGAGGAAAAATACTCTAAATACGAGCTTAGGAAACCAGGCAAGAGGTCCAATTATGAACTGAGATGTTCATGGCTTGAGGGTGAAAACAGTTCTATTAGAGATGAGAAGAGCAACAGCAAAAAGAGTGAAATATTGGCCCCCAAATACTTATTTGATAAAATCTACCACCACGAATCCAGTGCCAGTGATCAATTAGACACTGTCACAAGAAAGAGGATGCAGTTTAGTGATAGTACATTTAACCAGAAAGTGAACTATAGGCCCTTTCATGTGCCAATAACATCATCAAAAAGTGCTAATGCTTCCTATTTGGGGGATTTTCCCAAAAGAAGAGAGGCTCCACGGAAGTCAGAATATAACCAGGATGCAAGGAGGTTTAAAAGATATGAAAATTCTGAAGATTTCATGCTGAATTCTGATAATTACTATACCAGACATAACAGTCAGGAGCACATTGACTACGGAAGCTATTTAGGAAACAACCACGCTAGTTCTTTATATTTTCAAATGTTTTGAAGGTCTCTTAGATCAGGAAACTCTTACTCACAATAAAAATGTGCAAGAAGAAGATTTCAGACCAAATGTAGCTATGTAGTTAGCAACTACAGAGCAAGAGAGCAACACTTCGGAGCACGAGCAAGGTCAAATGCAAAACCTTGTTTCTCTTGCCAAAGGATAAAGCATAGATCTAAGTGTGTGTGTGTGTTGCAGGTGTGTTGGCAAACTTTGGAAACACAAAACATCCAGATTCTGAAGGTTGGTAAAACAATGTGCTTGCAAAACTTCCTTATCCAAGGACAGACATTTCTACAGTTCGATTGCAACTTCAATTCGGTGCCGTCAAAGGAGCAAATTAACGCCGAGAGGAGTGAAGGCAGCCCTCGATGGCTCTTCAGCGGTCATAACATTATCATTTAGCATCATTTATCTTCAGAGGGAATGGCAGTGAATGAATAATGATCTTTTTACTTGTTCTTTAATTTCGTCAGAACACCATGTGCAGCAACAAACTTTCCTGACTTTTATCTAGAAATACCTATAGATAAGAGGAGAGATGACACCTAGAACATATGATAGACTTCTTCATGACATTAGACAGTTCCATGAGCATCTACTAGAAAGAAATTAATCTTATTAATATGTTCATAGGACTTAAAGAGTTGTCCTTTTAGAAACAAAGCCTTGGAAGAAGAATCTGAAAGGGGCTCAGATCGTCCTTTGAGGTTTACACAGATAGTGGACCATTAGCAGAGTTGTTTTTTTGGAAGAACCCCATGTCATTCCCTCCTAGAAAAGCAACAGGATTGAAGCGATATAACATGGGATTTGCCAAAGGAAATATTGAACGATCATGGGGCACCAGTAATGGCACTTGGGAAGAGAGGACATGACAGTATTCCATTTCAGGTTATGTAATCCTTTCACTCAGGGTTGGGTGACATCAGTTTGTAAAAAGCCACTGAATATCCCAAAACTGACTTTTATAAAACATTAACAAGTGCCTCCTCAATCCTCAATAATGCCATGGAGTTAGGAAGAGTCATGGGTAAAGCCCATAGTTTTCTAGCGGGGGAAAAATTGTATGTGTGCCGGATTTGTAAACTCTTAACATAAGCAATTTATCTTTTTACCTACTGGTTTTGGACTCCTTGAATATGTTTTTAAATTGAGATATTTTATAGATTCGCAAAGACATACATCTTAATGCAGTGCATGTTCTATTGAAAGCTCGGCTGATTCATTCTGCCTTATATTGGATTTAGGACCTCAGGGGGCAGTAGATGACTTTTTTTCTTCCAAGAAAGCTATAGCTGACATGGCAATTGAAGACCTCAATGAGATTAGATTGCCTGCAGTGGGGAAAAGGTGATTTTAATCCACTGAAGTAGTGGAAGGCAACATTTTCATATGACATGATTCATTTCAAATAGTCCTAATTTGATAGTCCATAGAAAAGTACCAGGCTGGTAAAGCCAAGGTAGGATGCCAGTCCTTGTGGTTGCCCAGAATGACGAGGCACGATGTGTGCTCATAACCACCCTCTTGAGCAACCTGATATCTGAAATGGCTATAAAATCTTCTAATTGATCTAAAGTAAGAGCCACAAGTTGTTTCATTGATCTCCTCTAATAGCATTTAATAGAGGTATGCCAGTACAAGCAAAAGTTCAGAAAAGAATGTAACATAGCAGATTTATACTTATTATCAATGAATGATTTGTTGGCTCCCTTATATTCAATTCCACTTGCAAGCCAGTGACTCTGCCATCAAAACCAGGCTTGTCTTGTCTAATCTGAAACATTGCTCCTAGGGCGAGTGCCTTTTCTCCTCTGAGGGCTAGCAGTGATTATTAACGTTCAGAGGACTGTTGTCCGGAGTAGGCTTTTAAACTACTAACAGCTTGTATTTTGTCAGACAACTTCTGGTAACCAGGTATTATTCTCCTCCAATGAGACCCCCACCTCCTTATTTTTTCATGTTTCGTGCCCTTGAAACAAAGAGCATTATGGGTTTGTAATGGAAAGCAGCTATGCTTGTTTTGAAAAAGAAAAAACACCAACTCAATCTCTTCTGTCATTTGATAATTTTTCTTTGCAGAGATTTTAGGCGTGAAAACAATTTGCTGCTCAGTAACCAGACATAAAAAAATAAATTGCAGAATACAGCATGTGCAATTAAAAATTTTTTTTGTATAATAGAACTGGTGCTAAGTCACTCCTATATAATATTTTGGTCTTGTTTTGTTTGCTAAATACCATCCTGGGACCTAGAAGAAAGTAAAATTACTGGTTTTATGTTTACTTTCTGTACAACCTTGGATTTTTATGTCTCGTGGTAATGCATTCTAGATTTGAGTAAACCTCTTTTTTGGGGGGTGTGTAGGCCTTAAACAAGGAAGAGAACAATTTATCCTGAACTTTTCAAATGAATTGGCTTAGTAAGGAATGAAACAGAGCCGAAAATGTTGTAATCACTTTCTGTTAACATTGTTATTCTTTGTTGTGCTGTTGTTTAAGTGGTGCAGAAGTATTTTCTCATATCGTTTTCCTATGTCCCATTAAGTGAGGGCCTGAAGTTTAAGCTGTGTCTTTTAAAATAGATGTTTTTCCTTGTACGTGCTAATAGTGCTTTAAGAAAGCTAAAAATCTGTCAGTGCGTTTTTGTTCAATTTGTTTGAATTTCTCAGGGTAGAAAGCCATGTAACCTGGTAATTTGGAAAATAAGAACCAAATAAATGTATTTTCACTTGTCGCAAGACTGTTCAAAATGTTAACTTCTAAATGCTGATAATTCCACTTTGGGGGGTTGGGATTTCTACCCGTGGTATGCTGCTTTGCACTAACGTTGTTGATCCTTTTTGTCATTTGCATTGGTAGAGAAATAATACATATTTGATTTTCAGATATATTAAAAATAAAGTCATAGAGTCTTTGTTCATTGACCGCATGTACTGGCTAGAAGGTTGCACACCTGCAGTAACATTCTCTATGAAAATATGTCTGGTTTCAGTGGTTTCGAGGCAACTTCCCCAGTTTATGGTAATTGCCTGTCAGAGCTCATGAAACCACAGTTGTGTTTTCATCTTGGATAAATTAAAATCATGGTATTTGGACTCAAGACTATTCTCCCTTCAGCAAAGGTTTTAGTTCTTTAAAGGTAGCAAAACGGACTCCACAGAATTTCATCTCATCCCTTCAGGCCTTGCCTTGGTAGAAGTGTTGAAGTTACTCAACATCCAGAAACAAGTCAGACACATGGGGGGCTTCAGTGATCAGTCTTTGACCTTGCAAGCTTTAGCTGTATTTTCACATGAAATGTACAGCAAACCGCCTCTAAGCATCCCTAACAAAGGCGGACTGTACCTTAGAGAACAACTGGGCACTTTAGAGCTGAAAGGGTTCTTGTTGGGTTCAAAGAGCTCTTTCTGAGACAGCAAGGGCTGTTCTTGCTTGTTCTAGATTGAGGATTTGCATGAAGTTTGGCCCTCTGAGGCAAGGTGAACAGGACATTGTGTAGAGAGGCCACAGATACCACAAACGCACAGTGAATGCTGCTTCTGACCCACAGATGCTGGGACTGAGAACAGTGTATCTGGGCAGGGGCCAGAAGCAAGCAGGTGGGGCGCAAACAGCGGACCCTTCCCCCGCTGAAACCACCACTCCCTCATCTTCTTAAATGGCGCCTTTTACATAGTATGGCTTACCCGACTATGCGAACTGGATTTGAGTTTTTAGATCAAAGTCCTGCCTGATGGTAATATCACTTTACCTGTAATCAATACAATGTTGATTTAGTTCTGAATGGAGGGGAATCTGGCTATTTGGGATTGAAGCTTTTAACCAGGCTCTGGATGTTTTCCTCCTGGCATCAGACAACTGTTTAACTTAGTAAAAGGAATAGCCTAATCTTCACATCTAAATGAGATTTCAGGCTGCAAAGGTGGCCCAATTTCTCTCTCCCTCCCCTTCCCCCATAGCATATGGCCTAACAGGTTGCTTGGCACAAAACGGGCAACTCGAATATTTGTTGAATGAAAACTAGTTGGGGAAAAGGACACATTTAAAAACAACAAAAACAGGCAATATGGTTTGAGAACGTAAAAGCTGGAAAGCTTTTGAGCCCTCTTTGATTCAGGGAGTACTTCCTTTGTAAGAAAAGTCTGCCAATTTTAACACTAAAATGGCAGAACACTAATATTCAGGGTAATAGGTTGTCTGTGTTTATACAACCAACTGCACGTGCAAATCTGATATCCTTCTTTCGGCACAAAGTGAATCAACTTTACTACTATAAGGATTCCTGAACACTTTACTAATCCGATGATACATTACAGCAAAAACAAAACCTGCCTTGGCACTCGGTAACAGTCTTCACTAGAGTTACTCCTTAGTGACCTTGCCGTAGACCTCAAGGTGGAAGTCTGCCTCTGAGTTTATTAAGTTCTGACTTGAAGAGGCAGAATTTGACAAGTCACAAAAAATAAATTCAATTCACTATTTTTTTAACAGGACAAGCTGGTATTTGGTTTGTAGTGTGAGGCCTCTGTAAAGTTCTGCCCCTTTACTTGTCTCTTTTGGAATACAAAAAAAGTCACTCAAAAGTGAAACTCTTGAAGCTGGTTACTCAGATTAAGGTTTAAAAAAACAGGGCAACCCACCACACTATACTGGGTAAAACCATTTTATTAACTGACCAAAGCACTTCGTTTTGTTTTCTGATTTGAGGTAAAACCATTAAACACAGTTCACAAGAAAATACAATGACTATTCAACTACAAGAAACCTCACTAATTGTTCATATAATACTTTTACAAACTCTTACAACTGTACAGTCTACTTAAGCTAAGTTTATTGTTAACCAAAAGACCAATATCAAAGACCAAGACACTTGACTACTACTCTTGCAGTGGCTATAGTTTTGTAACAACAGAAGAATAACTGTTACTTTATGAATACACTTTAAAAACCACTTGGCTAGTGATGTATTCGGTTTCCTTATTCTTCAGGGGTGTGAAGGCTCTTAGGAGAGCAATCACCTGTTCCTGTTCTGCATGCCCCTCTCTCACGTCCAACCATGTAAAATAACCATGAACGTGGGGACTGGGAAGATAGTCCTACAATCTTATTCATGTGTTTTAGGTTTTTAGGCAAGCCAGCTGATTTTTTCCAAAGCTTGCTTTTGAATGTTCACATCCTGTTTTAATCCTCACTGCAGATTACTATGTCAGTGAGGGCATCTGAGGGTCCCAAGGAGGACAAGGACAGTGATGCAGACTGGAAACAAAGAAAGTAGATTTCTTGCAATTGAGCCGAGCTTTGAGATTTCGTTTTGTTACTGGACACCTCTCTTTAATCAATACCAAAGCCTGTGGAACACTGCAGATTTGCTTTAGAGGTAGATAAAACAGAAATCATGCAGTTACGTCAATTGAGAAGTGAGGGATTTGGTGTCTTCAGAGAACATCATGACTAAAAGTTAATCCTTTTGTTCCTTGGTGCTTGAAGGACTTTGCACATTTAACATTTTTACCTGTTTGGGGGCAAATACCCATGTCTTACCTGTCTCTCAGGAAAAGCAAATTCAAATGCAGCCTGTACTGACTACAGATAGAAGAAAAACAGTAATTACAGCACTGCAGTTCACTTTCTGAATTTGTGACACACGAACATATCATGCATTCTAAGACAGAAGTTAGCTTTATCAGTGTCACTAGTGATGTTAATTAAAAAAATGTACAGCAAGTTCAAAACTTTTCTAAATATTGAAATCACCGTGTTTTAAAGACAGACTGGAATGTTACAAATGATTCTGCAAAATACAAAAATAGATATGCGTCCACTGCAGGCTTTAATCACTTTTCCGCGCACTCTCATCCTTTGGCTCCTCCTCATCTGAGTACACAGCGGGCTCCTCCCCCTCCTTCAGCAGTTTGCCCACGTGATGATACTTGACTGGAAGGAGAGAGGAAGACACAACGGTCACTCTCACGCTTTCGAGAAAATCATGACATTTCATTTGAAAGCACTTGTGAGAGGCCTGCGAACGACACAATAGCACGTTGGGCTTCCTGAAGGTGGTTTATACCACAGTCCCAGCCAAGTCCCAGGGAGTTAGAGTTTTGTGCAGCAGACAGAAATATAGAACAGGTAGCGATGCCTGACAACGAGTGTGCAAGGTAATGTCAGAATGAGTTGTGTTAGTGCATAGGAGGTTTAGCAGAGCAAGGGCTTGTTATGAGTTAGGTGGAAGGGTTGCAGAACACTTTGTGGGAGAAGGATATGCTTTGGAAAATGTGTAGAAGGACTCGGGGAGGGAGGGGGTTCCAGAAAATGCAAATACCACACACAAAGGCATGCAGGTGTGACCGAATGTATCTGGGGGAGCAATAAAGAGACCAAGTTGGCAGGAGTAGACTGGGAGTAGCGCTAGCCAAACAGGGCGGGGAAATCCTAAGACAGATGTGGAAAGCCAGCCTGAGGAGTCCGGACTTGTCCCATGGGTGTGGCAAAGGGCGTTGAAAGTTTACGACAAAGGAATGACAGGGTAAAACAGTGCTGTGGCCACTACGGTATCACTGTGTATAGAGGGCACGGCAGATTACGGTCAGGAGAGCCCAGGAGCAGGGTGACCAGGAGGCCAGCGGGTGGATCCACATGCAGAGGAACAAGAGCCGGGAGGAGGGGGTGTCCGTGGGGATGGGAAGGGAAGGCTATGAGACACGTAAAGGAAGCTGGAAACATGAGTAAATGAAGTGAAAACTGGAGATTCCGTGGACCGAAACGGGGACTCTGGAGAGGGAGCCACTCTGGAGGGGCACGTGACTGGAGACTGACAACAGGACTGGAGAAGTGAAATTAGCATTGGCAAGAAGCAGGTCCCTGGAAACGTTTGAGAAAGAAGGTTCAATGGAATCGTGGGGCTAGAAACCATACTGCAGGGAGCAAGGAGGGATGGAGCAATGGTTAGGGACAACCGCGGATTACTAGATGGCTGTCTGACAGTGAAGGGAAGGAGTGATAACAGTCTAGTGGGTGAAGGGGAGAGCAGGAGACAGAATTCTCCCCCAACACGGGGCAACAGCTATACGTGGTTAAAGGGAAGTGCTAACAGAGACCAGAGAGCACTGGAGACTTTGGAGAAAATAGATTTAAGAGGGCAACCAGAACGTAAGGGACCTGAGAAGGGATGGAGTCAGCAGACAACCACCATATTGCCTGTATTATTAGGGCCAAGCTAACGTAGGGTTCATCATCTCAGTGTCAAAGGCCAAAAGAACTCCTCTTTCTGAGTATCGGTAGGAATTAGAGGGGTAACCAATCTGTTTAACCAGGCAACCGGAGCTACTTTGGTGTGAAATAATCGTCAGGAACAATTGGAACTTCCCTATTTGAACATTTTATAAAAGTCCCTGTGCAAGACAAATAAAAGCCACGTGGCGCCTCAGAGACCTGCCTTAAGGGGAATCCACGCCAGCTCTGAGTGTAGCTGAAGTGTCACAACAGTATTTGCGGCTAGCCTTAGTTTAAGGGGTTGGGGGAACCACACTTTTTACCCCACTGATGAAGGCAAGCCCTAGAAAATGGAGCTCTGTAAGTTATGAATTACGACTCATTGGTTTCATATAGAAGAATCTATTGTTACAAAGGCATCCTGAAGATGCAAAAAATGAGGGACTGTTAGATAGCTGAATTATGTTTTCAGAGTAAAAAGACTTGCTCTGGACTTGAAAGCTATTAGTCTGCTCGGGATCCAGACTCTAAAGGTAGAGCCATACCTGGCTAATTATTAATCCAGAACTCTCTGAAGTCAGCATTGTTTTCAAAGAAAATGGTTGGATTTAGCCCAAAAAGCCAATAATATTTAACAGATTATAGAGAATGGCAAATAGAAAATGACATTTACAATGAAAAATCCCCCTCAAGGAAGTGG